ATTTGGAATAAAGTCACAACAGCACTGGAAGGACAAGAGGAAAAAATTCCTGCCTGGTGAAGAGAAGCACTAGAAAATGTGCAGATACAACACAGTATTTATACAACAGTATTTTAAAGTAATTCCAAATTTCTCATCGCTTTAGCATAAATATCACTCAAAACTACTTCAAACACCATCTTGTTTATGCTGCTGTTTACAAAATGTAAATCCATCAGAGCTGACAGAGTTGCTCTGATTTAAAATGGGAGGAATTGAGGAAGAATTTGGCATTCTGATTCAGTTTTTAATGCACAATTTACCTTTCCCGTACACACAGTGCACTGGCCCTCAGGCAGAAGATAAGCAGCTAATAAATCAGCTTACATTTCTTTCAGCTCTTACTCACGGTGGAATCCCCAAAATGCATTTTATTTCATCTTTTTCCCACTCTTCAGCTTTCTCTCTTTCATTTTCCTTCCTCCTCTTCAGTCACCCCAGGTTTGCATTTCTCGTTTTCTATTTGAGTGGCTCGGCTTTGTTCTGTACGATGGAAAGACAGACAGACAGACAGGGACAGAGGCACGGCCAAGGGAACCACCTCGGACACCCACACTCGGGAGCATCTGATTGTGCCTCAAAAACATTTTCACTTTATAAAGGGGAGGGACTGGAACCTCATTTGCATGGGGGTCATTCCATCTGCTCGGCTCACGCCTTGGTGGCTCTGGAAAGTCCCTTTCTGGTTCCTTGGCTGGTGCAGAGCAGGGAAGGCCCCGCTCGGGGGGAGCTGAGAACTCTGTGCTGACCCTGCAGGAGGGGCTGCAAGAGGGGCTCCATTCCCTGCTCAGACACCCAGCTGGGACATTGGGGTGCTCTTTGCCCTGAAGGTTGCAGGGCTCAGACCATCACCCAGAGCTGGGGACTCAGCTGAGAGAAACCCTCCCTGCTGTGCAGGAGGAAGCTCTGGTCAGGTGCTCGATACTTGGGCTTCCTGTCTGTGCAGCCCGCGGTCTCATCTGGGGAAATCCTGAAAACATTATCAGATGCCTGATAAGCTCTTTAGCTTTCAAGTACATACTGATTCAGTTTCGGTCAAAACCTCATTTGAATACAGTTTTAAAGTCTAAATAAAAAGCAAGACCCTAATGGGGAAGAGATTAGACTTGCAGTCTGACATCTCTGGTATCCAAAATAGTGTGACTGATTAATGCTGGCATAAACAAATGTGCTTCTCCATACCTGCATCGAGATGCTCAGAGCATGCATTCAGCTTATTAAAAAGGTGTGGAATTACATGCCTGGCTAATTAAATGCCTTTATTTACCCACAAACAAATAGCACAGCAGAAGCAGCAGCACAGATGTTGCTCCACCCGATGTTGTTCACCACTGACTCGAGGCAGGTTGTTTCTGAGAGTGAGGAATTGCTTGGAACCCTCTGGTGCCCACTCATCCCATGGTCTTCTCCAGCAAAGCTGGCACATGTGCCAAGCCTTGCAGTGTTCAGAGTAGACTCCTGCTTACCAGGCATCACAGAGAGGTTTCCAAACCCTGCTCACGGTCACTCAGGCTGACATCAGAAAGCAGAGTAGACATATAGTCATTTCTTGCATGATTTCATAAATCTTTCATCCCTGCTGAAAGTATTTCTTTGTAACAGACAGTGAGATAACACCACGAGTTATGAATTCCAAGAGGAGCTGGAGCTTAGTCCCATTGAAAACTACAGAGAAATCCGAATTACTTTTGAAGAAATCGGAATTTCTTCCTGAATACTGTTAAAAGCAAACTTTCACTTGATTTCACTTGAAAGCTGAGTTCTGTGGGTCTTTTTCTGTGACACAGAGCCTTATACAAAGATATATATATTTCTTTACTTTTGTGCATCTAGTTGTCTGATTTCTTTGAGCTGAATTGACTTACAAATTTTACGAGCTCCCCCTCTGATTTCTGTCTCATTGCTTTAATACACAATAAAATAGAATAGGCTGACAGAGAAGGAAACCAAGGAAATAGTTCACAAATCATGCACCTTTCATAGACCACTCTGCACATTTACAAAAGTCATGGTCACATCACAAGCCAGGTAGGATTTGATTTGCCATCTCCCAGCCTGCTGTGATGGGTATGAATTAGCAGCTTTCCTGCAAGCCTGGCAGGGCTGTCAGGCATGCTGGGGGAGCACAGTGCAGAGGGGGTGGTGGAACAGCTCCTCTGGGCACCCCTGGTGACCTGGGCAGCCTCCAGAAGCCAGAGCTCTGCTCCTGGACAGGCTCAGAGAGGAGGGAGGGACATGCCAAGACAGGAGAGCTGCAGCCATCCTCCGTGACAGGTTTGTCTGAACTGGGAAATGTTCCCAGTAGGAAATGCCTGAAGGGATTCGTGCAGAGGCATTAACCTTCCCCAGAGTCTCTGTGGACGTGAGTCCACAGACATGCACAGATTTCTTTCCCTTCCCTGAAGGAAGAGTTTTGCTCCACAGTTGCACAGAGGGCTGGGGTGTTGCCAGCACTGCCCACAGCCCCCACAGCTTTGCTCAGTGTCCCCACAACAGCCAGGTTATCTGTCAGGGTGCCTTAAAACCCCACCAGAGTTGTTCTACTCAGGTTCATCATTCTCTTCATTATTTTGCTGTGACTGGCTGGAACATCTGTGAAGGCAAGACTGTGAGACTGGTACAGCACAGTGAGACCCACAAACCACAGCACACCCAGAGATCTGCTGCCACAGCTCCATCCTGGCCTCCAGCCCCACTGCTGCCCAGGACAAGCCCTGGGCTTGCCTGCACCCTGCCCTGGGTGACAAATGGTGCTCCCTGCCCTGAATGCAGCATTTCTGTGGGTGAAGGAAAGCCACTGCTGCCCTGTCAGGCAGCTGGAGTGAAAAGAGGTGCTGCAAAGTGGCCCCAGCCAGCACAGCACAGTGAGTGTCACGGGCTTCAGAAGTGGCTTCACTGGATGCTTTGCAGTCAGAAGTTAAAAACAGGAAGGTTTCAAAGGAGTTACAAAGGCAGGAAGTGAGTCAGCCCTGAGCAAGAGGGACAGCAAAGAGTAACCCCTTGTACTGCAGAGACCCAGCCAAAGACAGACCCACCATCCAGAACCAGAGTGAGCAGCACAAAACAAAAACGTTGCACTCCTGGTTGCAGCACCAGAACAAACACTCAGCCCTTAAGCCTGGACAGTCACACGAGCCCTGAGGAGGCCCTACATTGTCAACAAATTCCCACCAACTTTTGCAGGTTCCTAAATAGGGTAAAACACTTAAAGAATTAGCTGTTCCACAGATGAGTGCATCAGGTTCTGAACATGTTGGTCTCTCTTTCAAGCATACTGTTGAAGCTATTAGGAAGACAAATCATGTTTTAATTTCTGTATTAATAAGAAAACTAGGATGCTAGTTCCAAATGAAGAAAAAAATCTGGAGAAGGACAGACAGAACTGGCTGAGTTCCAGCACTAAAAAATGCCCTCGTCCCTCTGCTCTTCTTGAAAATCTTCTGTAAAGTAGCAAAAGACTTGAGAGTCAGAGCATAGTCACACACACCATGGGGGGAACCAAAACACAACTGAAATAGAATATGAGCCTCCTTGAGAAATGAGATTTCAGTGCAAAGCATCTCCAGATCCTTGCTATTTCAAAGAGAAACTCAGAACAGAGCACGGTAAGGTAGGCACAGAAGAAAACACTTCAGAGAAACTTTTGTTAACACTGACAGAAGCTGTTGAAAAGCTCTTATCTGAAAAAAAAACCAAAAAAACAACACCACACAAAAAACCACCAACCAAAAAACAGCTGGGGCAAGACTGGCTAGAAGGTAAAAAGCAAAATCCAGTACCTGGCTGCAACTTGCAAGTTTTGGATATCTTCCAGTGCAAAAATTATCCTTAGAAGAGTGCTGTGCTCTTGGAATCAGTTTTGCAGAGGAATGTTTCCATTGCATTTACAAAATGAAGTTTTATTCTTAAGTTTTGCAGAGCAAGGTTTTGTAAGTCAGCTTTGGAATTAGAAGCCTTGGCTTCATAATAATGGGAGTCTTTAACTAACAATTTAAAATACCTTAAAAGAACTTATAAGCTGCATCACAAAATCCAGGGGATGAAACACAATAGGCTCTACTCCAAGCAAAGGATCACACAGCTGCTAAAAGCAGCTGTCAAAGGTTGTGTGTTATTTAAGAAGGAACACCTAAACAGCCTTAGAAGAATCCAGGACAGTCAAAGCTTCCAGGCTGGGCAGAGGTTCACACACCAGGGACTGTTCTCACCCACGTGGCTGCCTGACAAGAAGCCACGGGAGGGCACTGTGGAGCCGTTTCAGTGCCTTAGTTACAGGAATTTCTGTAAAAATAAGCTTGAGCTGTTTTCTCCCAGCTTGTTAGAACTGACAAGGACAAAGATGCATTTTGTCATTTTCTTTTGTAGTGACTATTGTTTAACTCGTGTGTCTCGTACCCATCAAACTTTGATCTCAGTAAAGGCAGACAAGTTAAGAACTAAAAACTATTAAAATGCAATTAAGGATCAGCCAAACCCTGAAATCCCTACATAGAATTTCCTTTACCTGTATCTTTTATCTGGTTCGTTTGATATTTCGGTGAATTCTTTGAAGTTTCAAAGCAGCTCCCAGCCCCTGGAGCCACACAGTACTGTGACAATTAAAAGTAGTCTGTAGCTGCATAAAAACCCAGCATACCCCACCTCAGAGAACCACTGGGGAGAGCAAACAAGTTCAAATGAAAAATGCTGGAAGAGCACCAGCTCTAGGGCTTGATTGACACTAGATTGGTTTAAACATTTGCATGTGTTTTAAAGGCTCAAGTTATGCAAAGTGAGGTCAGGTGGACCTCAATCTATCACAACCATGTAGTGTAACCAGCAGGTACCAACCCCTGGATATGGTTCATATTAGTCTTGCTTACAAAGCTTACCCAGGCTCTGCTTTAGTTGCTGGTCAGATACCTCCTTCTGAAGCACTACTCACACCTGGAGCCTACTGAAAATGAACAAGTCTAGTATTATGCATGTTATATTAGCTTTTATTGAAATACAGAACTACATGAAATTTAAAACCCATTACAACATTCCTGCTCCTCATAAAAGTAATCTGGAAACGGTGGCAGCTCGGGGAAGTGGAGTTTTTCCAGGCTAGCAATGAAGTCAAAATTTGCTTGCAGCAAGCCTGAAGTTAGAAATAAATCAAATCAGTTAGAGATAAAGAAATGAGTTAGAAATAAATCAAATCAGTTCCTCAAACTCACAATGTGCACTAACACAAGTCAGCTCCCAGCATAAACCTCCTGAACCCCACCTAGCTGATAGTTGGCAAAGCACTGCAAAACACTGCTCAGTGTGATGCTTTCCACTGAGACAGAGTTCATTTTCTTCCCAGCAGCTGCTATGGGCTGTGTTCTGGATTTGTGCTGGAAGCAGTGTTGATAACTCAGGGCTGGTTTGGCTGTTGCTGAGCAGTGCTCCCAGCTGGCACAGCTGCCTGCCCCTGGCCCCAGGGCTATCCCACACCCTGGCAGCACACCCAGCACCTGAAGCTGGGGGGAGAAGGAAGGAGTGCTATCTGCAGTTACAGCACTTGTGATGGAGCCCTGCTGTCCTGGGGGTGCTGAACACCTGCCTGCTGGTGGGAAGCAGTGAATGAATTCCTTGGTTTGCTTTGCTTGATGCATGGCCTTTGCTTTAGTTATTAAACTGCTTTTATCTCAAACCCATGAGTTATTTCACATTTCCTCTTCCAATTCCCTTCCCCACCCCACGGCAGGGGACCCAGGAAGCAGCTGGGTTATGCCATCCCTCAGCAACAGCACTGAGACCAGCACCTGAACCAGCAGGGCTGGGCAGTGCCACTCAGCTGGACCCCACCAGAGCTGGCTGCTGCTGGGGCACTGCTCTGGCACAGCCCAGACAGCAACAGCAACTCACTGCTGGAGCCAACTGCCTTCCCTCCCAAAGCCTGAAAAGCAGGCCAAGGTTCCACTTACTGGGTGTAAGTGACAGCTCTGGAGTGGGAAGAGGGGTTGGCTCCTCCTCTACACGTCTGTGGTATGTCCTTGGATACACCATGAGGGGAACACCACGCAGGTCAAGATTGCTCAGCTTGCACTCCTCAGGAACATCAAAGATCTCAAAGTCTGTTTGGGAAAGACAGTCTGAGTAAGTGTGCAGCAGCCTGGGAAGCTGCAAATTCTCCTGGATTAAGTTAAATGGGAAGCAATCTAAAAATCTAAAACAACACAACACAAAGGGCATTTATTTGCAGTTACACCTTAGCTGTCCATGACATTCCCTACACAGCCACTTATCAAAAGACTAGATTGCATAATATAACTGCTAACACACAGCAGCTTTTCATGACTTCAGCAAGCACAGCACGTGTTTCACCAACACTGAAGTCTCTGGCACAGCAGTTTTCACACACTAAATCCCCATGAAGACTTTAAGGACACAGTTTGAAGGCCTGAGAAAGCAAGCACCCTTATGTTTCAGAAGGGACTCGGGAGAAATGCAGTGCTGGCTTTGTGTGCCACAATAGCTTGGACAAAGTCTTACAACAATGCCAGCACTCGTGAAAGCTTTATTGCTCATTTTAATAATTACACCAATAGTTCTTACCTTGAGGATCAAAATGAAACATATTTTCTACTTCTGGCCAATCTTCTTCAGACTCAGCACAATCTTCTTTACACTCTGCCAAATCTTCCTCACATTCTGAAGCCCAGCTGTCTAATTCAGTCTTTTCATTAGTCTTAAAAAAAGGAAGACACATTATTTGAGCTACTGTATCATGTTTGTAGTGGCTCTCCTGTGCTATTCAGGTCTCCAGACAAGCACACCTGCCCTACAGTCCTCAGGTAGGCCTGAATGCTACACCTTCAACACAAACAAGCTGGAGATGGGCAAATGTTCCAGCAGAGTTTATGCAGCTCAGTACTACACACAGTAGCAACAAGTGACTGCACTGGAACATTTAAGCTCATATTAAACTGTTAGTACTTAACATGTGAATAAGGCATTAACTGAGACTGTTTTCCCCAGAGCCATCTATGTAGGTGCACTAGTTTGGGCTAGAATAGTTATTTTCCTTCCTTGTAATTGATATGAGCCATGTTTTGGATTCCTGCTGAGAACAGCATCAATACACACAGCTGTGGGAGCTACTGCTGAGCAGGTTTACAGAGCCCAGGCCCCTCCTGCCTCTCCCAACCCCCAGGGAGGAGGCTGGGGGTGCACAGCCAGGACAGCTGACCCTGAGTGTGCAGAGGGACATCCCCACATTGCACAGCAGCACGCTCAGCAATGAACACAGGGGGAGTGTGCCAAGGCTGCACTGCTCAGGGACTGGCACAGCATCACTCAGATGCTTATGTCTTCCTTTGAGATTTTATTATTAAACTGTCTTCATCTCAGCCTGGGAGTTCTCACTTTTACCCTTCCAGGTCTCTCACCCATCCCACTAAGGGAAAGTGAGGGAGCAGCTGTGGGGTGTTTAATCTGCCAGGGTTAAGCCACAACCAACTACACATTCCTCTCCCCCCTCCTGCAGCAGCAGCATGTTGTACTCACTTTGTTTGCAGTGCAAGGCTGATTTTCCTGCTTCATCTGAGGCTGATTTTCCTGCTTCATCT